CACACATCCTATAGAAAAGCACGCACGCACAAATGTACGCCCCCATATACACGCACACACACAAACACACACGCACACATCCTATAGAAAAGCACGCACGCACAAATGTACGCCCCCATATACACGCACACACACAAACACACACGCACACATCCTATAGAAAAGCACGCACGCACAAATGTACGCCCCCATATACACGCACACACACAAACACACACGCACACATCCTATAGAAAAGCACGCACGCACAAATGTACGCCCCCATATACACGCACACAAGCACAAACACACACGCGCGCGCACGCACGCACGCACGCAAGCACTTACACGCGCATATCACAAGAATGAATGAGGTTACATGAATTATATAATACGCGAAGGAGTCGACAGACACACGCTTACGTATGACGGCTTCATCTTACAGGTTTTCAGCTGCTGGTCTCCGTACGCGATCTGTTTCTCGCCGGATCGCACACCGTCATGACGACGCTACGCTGGGGTCTGCTCTTTATGCTCAAATACCCTCACGTCCTACGGAGAGTGCAGGCCGAGATTGATGACGTCATCGGACGAGGAAGGCTACCATGCATGGCGGACCAAGACAACATGCCGTACACGCGTGCGACAATAACCGAAGTGCAGAGAGTAGGTGAGAAAGTTCGCTGGCGTGGTTAGTAGATGGAATGTACCAGTATGTGGCAGTCATACACAGTAGACCTGATTAGGTGTGACACAAATATTGTTTGATAATACTTGGCAAGTTTCTTTCGCACAGCATAACTAAGCGAACAACACTACTAAACGTCTAGATACTCTGAGAGAACGCCACACGCCGAGTTTCTTTCTTGTTTCTAGCGGACATTGTTCCTCTGAGCGTGCCACACAGAACGACTACCGAGTTACAGCTAGGAGGCTACGTCATCCCCGCCGGTACGGCGATCCTTGCTAACCTCACGGCCATCCTGAACGACCCGAAACACTTCCCCGAACCGGAGAAGTTTCGCCCGGAGCGCCACCTGGACGAGCGTGGAGACTTTGTGAAAAACCAAGCGCTGATCCCGTTCTCCATTGGTGAGATTACTTGCACGGCCGCAAGATGGCGACACCAGGGCAAGGAGAATACAGTGACGTCACCCGTCAAAAGACTGCAGCGGTGATCGTGGTTGGGGACCCCTGCTAGGTTATTGTTTTTGAGGGGTGCTGATTAGGCGATGCCCTGAAACCCGCCAACTTTGGATTTTAATTTTTTCACATAATTGGAACTAAATTGGTGTTTAATACACCGTCGTACATGTTTTACATGACCAGGGTGTGTTTTACCATATCACGGCACGGCAGACTACTCCCCCACTATCCTTCACTAATCCGATATCCCTAAACTTCTCAACAAAAGTGTTCT